GGGTAAGAAGAAGGTTTGACGGCCGCTCCCGCTTTGACTGGGCTCTGATGGGAAATGCACACACGCGGTCCTCCGGAGCTCCGGGGATCGCCCGCAGCCCCGAACGCCGCCGCTCCCCCCCCCCGCCGGGCACAGCCGGGCTCCCCTCCACGCGGCTCCCGCTGCACGCAGTTCGGGCGCTCAGAGCAAAGCCGCTCCTCCGCCACCACCGCCGCCGCTCCTCGAACTTGGCCCATTTCAACAAGCGGAGGCGCTGGCAAACGGCGCGCCGACGGCGGGGGGGTGAGGGGGTGAACGACGGGCGGCGGGGCTGCGCCGGGGGGGGGGGGCAGGCAGCACGGCTCCGGCACGGCCATCCCCACCGCCAGCCCGCCCCGATACGCCTGGCACAGCACTGGCAAGCTGCCTCCCTTTCTCTTTTTTTTTTTCTAATTCGTCCTGCTGTGATGGGATGAAGGGAATGGAAATGGTTTCTCGAGGGGGGGGGAGGCTGAGCGTAAGGAAAAAGCTTTCTGCACTGGTGAAAAGGCTGGAGTGCCTCCCCATCCCTGCAGGCACACCGGGTCGGTGCTCTGAGCACTGATGGAGCTGTGGGTGTCCTTGTTTGGTGGAATGGGACCAGATGGCTTTTAAATGTCGTCCCTTCCAACTTCAATCCTGTGTTTTCTGTTCGGAGCTGTGGTGGGTGTGCTGTGAGGTTCACCCAGGACAGCCCCATGGGGACAACAGGGCCCAACATTAAGTGATGTGGTTGGTGGAGATTTGGTACATTAATGAGACGGAGTTCCCTACCTTTGGATGCTAAATGGGAGCAACTGTGCAGGAGGAAACCTACCTGCAAGTGAAAAGAAAGTATCCCTTAAATACAGCACAAGAGATGCCCCACAAGGTCCTACAAGGTGGCAGAAAGAAGAGAGCTCTGCATCCCATCCCCATCCGGAACAGCCACCACAATTCCTGGCTTTGTCCCAATGTGTCCCTTGTGTTTCCCATCTCCTTGCAGGAGGAGGTGCCAGGTTAACCCTGCCTGCCTGCCAGGGAGGAAAAGATTTGCTCTCATCCCTCCTATCAATAGGATCTCATGGTGCTCCTCCTGTCCCCTCTGCTCCCAGCTCCTACCACACCTGCTGGTGGTCCATGGTGGGATGAGCCACTGCTTCCCACCCATACAGGTGGGAGCAAACAGCTCTCTGAGGCTCAGCAGGTCTGGGGATGGAAAAAAAGCCCCAAACCTCACACCTCCTGGCACTGCCTGGCCACGCTCCTTCCCCTTGCCTGTTTATCCTCAAGGAATGCAAGCTCTGGGAGCAATCCTCTGGCTTCCAGTTCTAATGAAGGAGGCAGATACACAGACCCATCAAACCCTCTCATTAAGGCTTTCAGGCTTAGGCTCTCATTCTTAATGCCTCCGATTGCTCAAGGTGACAGGGGAAAAATCACTTTCTATTATCACCTAATGAACCAAGAACAATGCTTGGAAGAGGCACTGGGAGATGCAGGCATTGAGGCCACACTCTGAGCAGAAACCTTCCCCCTTTACAGGAAAAGCTGACTGCCCAGAGGGTTTTCCCACTGCAAGTCAGCTGGGTTTCTTTTTCTCTCCAAAGAAATCAGGCTCAAATCTGAACCTGGTCCTAAGTGAAGAGAATATGCTTTGTCTTTGACAGGCAGCATCTACCTGGCTGTGCTTTGATCCTGAACAAACCCGAGCACTTGATGCTATGGGTGGAAGTCGGGCACTGGAAGAGAAGGGCTTTGTGATGGGGATGGTGTGGGCCAGGCTGCTTCCTGCATGCACACAAGGCTTCCTGGCAGAGCTCGGTGATGTTTGGAAGGATTCAGGAGGCACAGGGTCCAGCTGATCCCATCCATCCCTTACAAGCACTGAAACTCACTACCAAGTCCTCCCAGCCCCTCCTGCTGCAATAAAGCACCAGAGCTCTCTCTGGGTGTCCGAATGCATCTGCAGCATCCTGAAGCTGCTCAGCTCCAGTTGAGCTGGCAGGATGAGCATCAACACATTGGCCATCAGAGAGATGCAAGCAAATCCATGCAGGAGTGGTTTAAGAGAGAACCAGGGCTGCTTTGCCAACGCACCATTGGGACGTGTTGTAAGGTCTGGGGGCAGAATCACCAGGTCTTTCTGTGTCTTTCTGTGTTTCCAGGGCACCAGCAAAGTGAACACATCATCCTTCATTTGCTCAGAGAGGCGCTATGGCAGTAAAGGGAATAAAGAGTGATCATTTTCTATCCTCTGGTCCCTCATTTCTGGAATACATCACGCAAGCCTGAAACAAAACCCAGACTTTTTGTTTGCCTCAATGTGTCAACAGGCAGCAAAGAGAGAGCTGTCCTGCAGAGCACATTACAAGAAGAGATTGTGCTTCAAGCTCAAAGTTAACAGATAAGGATTTCCCTCCTCCTTCTGCCACCAGCTTCACAAATTACTTACACTGGACAGGCCTCCATTTCTCTACCTGGAAGAGGAGGGGGAGCCTTTCTAAATGTGACTTGTTATTTAGATGTATAAAAAGAACACTTAGAGAAATCACCAGCAAAACGAGTTTGCAGTTTCAGCCACTGGACAGCTTCCCTCTGTATTAACTACCTTCTTTGTTGGCCCAGATTGCAATTAAAACCACATCTTTCCCTCTCTACTATTCCTCTCTCCTCAGATGTTATTTATCACTAATTTGTAACTGTTGTGAAAGACGTGAGATATCAAAGCTGTAATGCAGAAGAAAGCTTCCATCAGACTCTTTTTTTTTAATCTTAAAGCCTTTTTTTCTGTGCTACTTTAATCTGCTCCACGGCTAGGAAAAACTCACTCTATCAAAAGATGGTGAAACGATGCTCATGATGCATTAATCCAAAGCCTGGCTGCGTCCCAATGCTTGTAGATCACCCTCTGCCTTGCTTCCTGCCTGCACTCACAGCAACAAAAAGATGCTCTGGAGGACCATCCGTGGGTCTGCAGTCTGCTGCTGGGTTACACCAATAACAAACGAGTGACCATCGAGATGAAGGCAACGCCTGGAGCATCATCTCAGCATCAAATAGGCTACAAAAGAATAAGCTGTGGGCTGCCCCCTCACTCACATGTGTACACAAATGTGCACAGAGAGAGCACAACTGTTTAGACTCAGCAGATGAACTGTTAGCTCATCCTCCAGGAGCAAAGTGTCACAAGGCTCTGGTGTCACCAAGATCTAACTACTTCAGTGCATGCTGGAGAGGTCAAAGTAAAGACTGGGCAGAGCCTGCCCTGACCAATTTAGGAGCTGCTCAAGTTCTGTGCTGCCCAAGCTGGCTTCCAGCTTCCCAACACGTTAATTAGTGCTAATAGATCTGAAAGCCTTTAAATCACTGTGCACCTCTGCAGCCAGGTGCTGTGCTATCCTAATTCTCCTCCTTGCTAGAAATGGGTGTTGAGCAACCGTGCCTGGCACACAGCTGGGCTGCTGCATCTGCACAACTGCTGTCACAGCCATGCTGAACCCCACCTATGGACAGGGCCAGACCCCTTCAATCTCTTTGCAGTGATCTGGAAGAAGTGCAGCTCCCTTGCTTTGCTTCATAACAAATACCCGTGGCCCAGTGAAGCTGCAACTAGTTAGCACTGAGCTTTATTTGTTTGTCACACTTCCAAGCTCCAACTCTGCTGCATGTGGGCTCAGGCATTCCAGCTTCTATTTCTGCCTATTTTGCTTTGCTGTGTGACTGCAGTGATCCACGAAGAGCAGCTCCAGATTTGGGCTCTCTGCTCATAAGCCACCTCCAGAGGTGGGGACGGCCACCAAGCACCAATGCACTGCTGCATGGTACAGCACGAGGGTTACATCTACTCTGCTTCGTGCCCTGAGAAGACAAGAAGAGCTCCAATATTCAACCTGAGGGTCTCTGTGTGCTGGCTGGGGAGAGACAGCATGCTGAAATATTAGCTTGGCTCTATGGGAGCAGTCAGATTTTCAGTTGCAGCCATATGGTAACCTGCATCACGTCCTCCTAACAGATGTGCCAACAGCTGGAGGGGCAGAAAGATGGGTTCTATCACACGTTTCATTTCTCACTGTCCTGGAAAGAGGTAGGAGGAAGCTGGGACCAATGAGGGCGAGCAGTGGAGGGAAGAGATCTTTTCAAGTTCCCCTTTCCCCTTTTAAGTCCATCAGGCATGCAGGCAATCCTCACATGTGCTTTGCACCCAGAAGCAATGCTGGCATTAGCCATAAAGCACTGCACACAGGTTAAGGCTGCGCTGACCCTAAAATAAAAAGCCTAATCCATTGTAAATATCCAGGAGATGCTCAAGCCTATTCCCACCCAACAGCTCATTCTTCCTTTAAGGGAGCCTGTCCCAATGGTGTGGGCTAATTACAGCTACAGCAAAAGTCCAATTAGGATGCACATCTATATGCTAACGAGTGCAAGGCTCTCCCTGTCTCCTGCTAACACCCAAGAGAGCAGACCCAGCACAACTCACCAGGGACTCTGCTGTGTCTGACTGCAAGAATGCTCATTGTTCCCATCTATTGGCATTTTCATTGCAACCACCACCACCACGTTACTGTTCTCAGGGAACAACAAAAGTTTCCCTTTTGCTGGTGGAAGCAAACAGCCCTCCACAACGCTCCCATCCTTCTCTACCACTGGCATAAAGAGCTTCAGCTGGCAGTTGCTTCTGTTGCAACAGTGTCCTCCCCAGCCCCAAGAACACGGGGATGCACAGCTGCCATCTCTGAGGGACTGTCAATGGTTAAGCTGACAGCTGGCATGGTGGTGCTTGCTGGAAACTGGCTCTCTTAGGCCACAGGCATCATTCCCACCTTGGAAGCTGTTCTGAGAGAGGTATTTTTCTGATCTTATTTTATTACTCGACCGGAGAAAGGCGTTCTATTTGGAATAATAATAGAGATCGTGCTGTTATATCCACTGCACTTTAACTATACCGGTGCTTCTGCAACTCTTTCTCAAGCAGACAGACCTTCCTCAGTCCCTGCTGATGGTCTTGGAGTTCTGCTCAGACTCACTGCTGCAGTAGGGAGTGGAAAAGGTCACTAAATCAGCAAACCCACTGACTGGAATAGTGGGACAGCAATGGGATGCAAGCTTAACGCAATTCTTGAGCAGGAGGAAGGCAGCACTCAGTTCTGCACACCATAAAACTTGAGTGAGAAAGGGATGAAACCTCAGGGACACGCAGGGGAAGGAAAAAGGGTATTCAGGAGACCATATAAAAGAGCCCTACTGATAGCTGCATGGGGACAAGGAGGAGAATGGTGACCCAAGCACTCCTCCAGCTGCACACAAAACATTGCCCCGCTGCTGTCCCAAGGACTGATGCATGCCACTCTTTCCATCAGCTCCCCAAAACCCCCCAGCAGCAGCATCCGGAACCCCAATCCAATTAGAAAGCAAAACACAGGCAGATCAAAGAGTTCCCCAGCTCTCCTGAGAACGAGTCGGAGCGTGGGATAATTAGTAGCTGCTGACTGCTTCTAAACCACCTCTCATGTTAGCCTCTCCTTGGCCTTCTCACCTGCATGGGCAGCCCCTTCCAGCCCCCTCCATGCTGTCACTCTTTCAGGATGGATAACACAAAGGGGGTACAGGTGGTGCCCCTCAAAGCAAGGCCGTTTCCCCCCCCCTGTGCTGTGGCAGTTCTCCAAAATGCAGGGGCACATCCTGATAAATCACTCCCATCGCATCCCTTGGGGCAGGCCCACATCACAACAAGACCCATGGGGGGGCTGCAGGCACGCAAACCAATCCTGTGCACGAGCAGTCTGCATGCAAAGAAACACACACAGAAATAAAGCCGACCTGGGAAGCACTAGGAGAGGAGGAGATCTCTAGGTTATAGGCACCCAGGGAACGTTGCTCAGCCAGTAACAGCACACAAGCTCAGCTCAGGGGTCGTTTTTATCTTAGACCTCCCAACTTTCCATACGGTGACTCAACAGAACTACAACCAATGCAAATCACCAAATCACAGCGTGGGGATTTTGAGCAGAAAACGCTCAGAAGCAGCAGCAAGCTGTACGGCTGCACGTGTGTGCCAGAGCAGCACGGCCGGCTCTCACCAGCCCCAAACTGCACAATCACAGTGCCTGCAGCCCTCCCCGGGCAACCGCGGGCAAATATCAGGCTGTGCATTATGCAGATCCTGAGTAAGGATGTGCCCATCGGTGCCAGGAGCCTCAGCCCCCCCCCACTGCAAGCACGCAGGCTGAGAGCCAACGCTGCCTCTAGCTCCACCAAAGCGAACCGCTCTCAGCAGCAGATTCCTCGCTCTCCATCTCAGCTCCAGCCTGCCGGAACCCCGCAGCCCCCCGACACGCCGTTCCCCTCCATCTCCCTCCAAACCGGGCAACAGCGACCGACCGGCTGCCGGCCGGCCCCGTCGCTGCTCGGGAACCCCCCAGGAGGACCCCCCCGTCCCCCCCCCTCCCCTCGCCGCCGCCGCCGCCGCCACGGCTTGCTGGCAGCAGCCCCGGAGCCGCAGCGCTGCCGCCGGGGAGAGAGGTAATAAATAACCCGGGGAGCGCGGCGCGGAGCCCGGCGGGCGGCGCAGACTCTGACCTGACAAATACCCACTGGAAAATCAGCACCTCCCGCCCCCGGGAGCCTGGAGCCAGCCCCGGACCGGCCCCAGACTGTGTGTGTGTGTGTGTGTGTGTGTGTGCGGGGGGGGGTTGGTGGCTGAGCAAACAGCGCGGAGCTGAGCAGCCAGACGGCCCCGCCGCCCGCCCCGTCGGGTTGCGCCGTGCAAAGCGGGCGGGGAGGGCATGGCTGCGCACATGCACACGCTATACATACACAAATACACGTCTATACGAGCGCACTGTGCTTTCCCCGTCGGCCCGAGTTGAATTCCCAGCCCGCCCGCCGCTTTGACGGAGGTGGGGTCTGGCAAACAGCGCCCAACCCGCAGTGCTTCGGGTCCCCCCTCCGCACCCCCAACCTCACCTGCACCGCCGGGAGACAGCACGGCACCCAGGGGGACGAGCAGGGAGGGGGCGGCCGCTTGATTTTCTGCTCTGTGCAATAAAGTGTGATTATAAGGAATGTAAGAAGGAGCACAGCTTGAATTCCAATTGGTGGAGAGCCTGTTGTTAACCATCAGGGAACTATTTATTCTCTAGCCTTACTGATGCTCCTTGGTCAATAATGATAAAGGGGGGAAAAAAAAAAAAAAAGAAAGTTGAAGCCATTATAAAGAGGCAATCGAATTAGAGGGAGCAGCAACAGCCCCCTAGGAATCCATGCTCCCCTCAGGTCATGGCTGGAGCGCTCAGGCTGCTGCCTCCTGTCAGCACAGACTCTGTGCCCTGCCAGAAATGAGCCATTCCTCAGCACCTGGTGGCCATTGGGGACACAGAGCAGCCCCAGCTCTGAGCCATCTCTGGAGGCATTTCATCCCTAAAGCAAACGGCTGGAAGAGGAACAGAACGTGTCTGTGGATGCTCACACACACACACTGCAGATATGTGTGCCCCAAGCCCTGCTCTGCTCACACAGTGTGACAATTTGCTGCTTGCATCCCAGAGCCTCCAGTCACCATCAGTGGACAAAGGTCAGCCCCGTCCCAAACAGCCCATGCACTCCAAAGCCCCGTTCTTTCTTGTATTACTGAATTCCACACGTGCTTTGCCAACGTTTCAAATAGGATCAGAGTCACGCCAAGCCAGCTTTAGAAACCTGTGGCATCCAGGCTGGCTGCCAGATCCCAAAACCCAAATACAGTGCAGGAACCAATGCAGGGAGGGACCCACACGGCTCCCACCACCCCACACAGGCGATCCACACCCATTCACAGTGCAAGAATGTCTGCTCCCATGTCATGGTCCTAAGGGATGGGTTGGGGTTGGACTTGGGGATCACAGCAATCTTCTCCAATGCGAATGATTCCATGGTTTATGATCTTCCCTCTCTGTTTTTTTTTTTTTTTCTCTGTTATCAGCTGCTGTCTGGACTGGCATTTCCAAAGTCTCCTTCTCAGACAGCTCCATCTCCATTCCATTTCTTTGAACACACCAGTTGCAGCCTGCAGGGCAGGTTCTCTGCTCCAGCCTTCCAGCCTGGGGGGCTGTGCAGTTCTCTTTGCACACAGACAAGGGAATGTCCAGGGTTCAGCTCCCCCCTGAGCAGCACAGTTGAAGATCAGGGCACCTCTGTGCCAAAGCCAGGCAGGAGGTTCCTTCCCAGATGCTACTGGCACCCAGCATCACTTCCTTCATCTCTGTTACCTACAGTACATACCAACATGTAACACTGCCTCGTAGGATGTTCTATCAGTGCAAATGTCCCCAAATTGTGCACTGTTTGAAGAGCAGCACAGAGGGAAGCTGTCAGGAAGCAATCCAGGAAAGGTCCTCCTCCCCAGCACAAGGATCAGCTTTCAAGGAGCTCAATGAATCTCTTCTAATAGGCAAGATGAAAATGAAGATGCAGAAGAACAAGCAGGAGAAGGGAGGGCTGTGATTTCCCTCCTGGCCAGCAACAAGCAGCTCCCATTGGTGCTGCAGTGCAATGGGACCACAATGCTGGACAAAAGCTGGATGCATCACCTTGGTACAAACGAGCCCAAGGCCTTCTGCTGAAGCCAAGCCATGAGGCTTGTTATGGCTTGGAAGAAAAGTGAGACTTTGCTGCTTCAGGGCTGCATGCTGGGAGCTCCCTGGGGACAGGGGTATCAATCTTAATAAAGCCACGGCGTGGCAGATAAATCATAATAAGGAATAACGATATATAATAAGGATGAATAATATTAAGAGGATCGTGTGAGAGAGAGAGCCTGCATGCCTGCAAACACAGCAGTGCCAACACAGAGGTGCAGAGAAAAGAGAGCTGTTACTGTATTTCAAAGGGAACATATTAGCCACAAGCAAACAGTGCAAGGGAGGGACTGCTCAGCCCTCTGAACGTGTATTGAAAATGCAGATAAGCCCAATGTTGAGATCCAAGAAAAAATGTATTTATCACTGTTATTAACAATAATAGAAATCAAACCAACTTTAATAGCAGGCTGGGTTTGATGCATTCCCCAAATAGGAGGATTTATTAGTTTAAAGCCCGTGTATTTATTTGTTTTCCTCTCTCTCCAGTCCTGCCCCTCTTCCAACCCTCTTGAATTTTTAATGCACCATTTCTAATGTCAGACGTTTTTCTTGTGAAGGTTTTTCTGACATAACTTTATATCGCTACATCCTTCTGCTGTTGCCATTCCCCATCCTTGTTAGAGCCTCCGCTCCCCTAATGAACTTCATCTCCTGCCTGGATAATAAAAGCAAATGGATACGGGGCTGGAGAGAAGCCACAGTGAGGTGTGTGCATGTTTGTGTGCTCAGGAGTGCAGTGACACCCAAGCAGGGCAGCACCAACCTGCTCTCCTGTCCCTGCATGGCTGTGTGTGTGTGTGTGTGTGTGCACGCTTTGCACAGATGCCATTTCACAGTCGTGCACTGACGGTGCAAATGGAAGGAGATGGGAAGGTGTGCACGCTGCAGGAGCCAGGAGTTTGAGATTTCCCATTCAACAAAGCACCAGGATGCACAGAAGCCCAGTGGTTCTTAGCACCTTCATCTCAGGGTTATCCTGATGGAGTTTTGCAGTGATAACCAATGGCTAAGAGCCCACCTGCCCCTCTGTGCCTCCCAGCCTTAGCGAAGAGCAGAACATCCAACCTCCACCATCCTCCTTTAGTTTCCATCCACGGAGGCTAACATATGTAATGTTTCTACAACTTCTGCTATTCTTCCAGCTGTTGAGAAAGCTCAACAATGGAGCTGGGTCTCCTGTTGCCATTGGGACACACAGCTTTCAAACACCCACATGAACACCACATGCATTTGTGACTCCAGCACTGCCCTGGACCTTTAAACCCCCCAAATCTCCATCTGGTCCTTGACAAACAGACTCTAAAATTCAACACCCAGCGCCGTTCTGTCTCCGTTTGGCTGACAATGAAGCACGCTTTACACTGCAATCTTAATTGAAATTTCAGGTAGAAATAAATGTAGCCACCTCTCATTCCCTAATGGATCCCTGAGCTGCTTCCTCACTCTGTGACCATTCCTGGCACGACAAGCAGTATCTGTTTTAAAGAAGGCCATAATTATGAAGTCTGTGGGTAAGTGCAAGGCAGGACAGCGACGCGATGCCATCCTTACCTGACCAGAAAAGCTGGAGCAGCAGGGCTGAGCAGGCAGGGAAATGCATGCTGCAATGCAAGAACTGCTCCTTTCGCTCCCTGCTTCCCTTCTACTTCGGATGCTGCTCTGAATGGCCATCCCTAGCACAGGACAAGGCATGCCACCAATCCCTGGCCAAGAGCACCGTGCCCTGAGGCCATCATTAGGTGCTTGTGTGGAGTTGGGAGCCAGCCTTCTTCCAGGGAAGAGGAACACTGTATGCTGGATCTGTCTTGAGTTTAAAGCACACACCTCTTCCTGGTAGAACTGCACATCTGCTGGCTTTCTGGACCACAGCTAACGTGCAATGAAGTAATTCTGACAGCAGCTCGCAGTGACAGCTGCCCGTGGTGTCTCACACATGGCAAGGTGTGTATGTGAGCTTGCTCTTGTAAAGCCTTCTCACCATAAAAGACCTCCTCCAAATCCAAATGAACATGCCTGTCCCAAGGCAAGTACTGACCGAGGAGAAGAGAGCCCTGAAAACCACAGTGAAATTAAGACAAAGCTGTTGGTTTTGCACCAGACAGACCCCTGCAATGGGTGGCAGAACAAAGGCAAGAAGGGAAAGAATGGGTCCTTCATGAGGATGGGTGGATCACAGAAGAGGAAAGAGCGACACAACCAAGAGCTTTGGAGGGAAGAAGATATTTTCCCCTGAGCAGACAATGAGACCAGCAGTGTTATGCTCTAAGGAAAACAATGGACTCAACAGCAAAGCAACAGCTGCACAGTCTGCAGACCAATTATTTAAATGGGTGGAAATGCATGTAATTTTTTGAGGGGATGATACCTTTTTTGCTCCAGTAGGCATCCAGCCAGCCAGCCCTGCTGCAAAGACCCCATTCCCTGAGATGCTACAGACACCCAGCAGGTTCCCAGCTGCTGCAGGGCACATCCCAGCCATCTCTGCTTTGAATGCTTAGGAGGTGCAGGCTGCACTGTGTTAATATGCAAAGTGTGCCTGCCTTCCCAATTAAATGGAAAATGCTATGATTAAAACCAGTCAGAAGATATTAGATGGATAGTGCTGAACTGTGGGCTTTACTTCCTACACGCTGCAGCCCCATAGGAGCGCTGATGGAGTACATGCCAGGGAGATCACCAAAGGTGAAACAGAGCTGGGAATGGAAAAACGCTTCATAAGAAGGGGAAGAAAATGAGGTAGGGCTGCATTAACACAGAACCTCATCCTGGTCTTTGTGGATCACAAACCTCTGGGAGGACACTGTGCATCGCTGCTCCTAGAAAGCAAATTTTGGTGCATCATTTGCAGGGGAGAACACCATAGAAGTGGAACAAATCGCAGCACGAGGCCCCTAAGCTTCACCCTTAGAGCTGAGTGGGACGGGTCCTTCCTATGCCCCATTTCCTTCTTAGCATCAGTGCTGAGTTCTCCTCTACCACCCATCTGGGACAGGAAGAGAAATCACAGCGGAGCAGTGCAGCACGCCGGATCATTACAATGAAACCCGTGAAGATGAGAAGATAAAGCAAGAAATGTTAAGAACTGATTGGAAAGTCCCCTCTGCCTTGCTGGGAAGGGTTCTCCCAATCACCTGCATGGCTCTAACCCTCCTGGCTGTGCTCTGCAGCTCAGCCCCAGGCCATGCAGCCTCGCTCTTGCTGTGCCTGCGAGCACTGCTGCTCCCTGTGCCCGTGTTTCATGACGTGCATTTAATTAACAGTGATGGCAAAGTCAGGTGTATTTATGGGGACTTCTCATCCTCACACTTACAGCTGCAGTTGCTATGGCTTTCCTACCGGAGTTTGCTCTTTCCTCCCCACCCCCACCACGTAACGTGCACCAGAATAAAGTCTAATAAATTCTGCTGTGTAATTGGCTGTATATTTTAGGAGTCCATCCATCCCGGTGCTGTGAAAACAGAGGCCCTCAAAAATACACTGCGAGGACAGAAAGCTCTCAATGGGGGGGTGGGGGGAGGAGGAGAGTCCAAAGCTCTCTGCTGTTCTGACAGCACTCAGGAGGATAACAGGGATGGTGCAGTGACAGCACTTGGTAGCCTCAGTGTACCATTGCATGGCAGCATTCCCTGCTGCCAGCTGTTTGTATGGTTCTGCACGAGCATCCTCACCTGGTACCAGTGTGGGGAAGTCTCCCTGCATGGCCAGATTGACACAGAGCTGAAGAAAGGTCATCCATTACTTCTGGGGGAAAGAATCCAAACAGAATGCTGTAAAACAAGGAGGGGGGCAGAAATGAGACAGCTTTCCTATGGGCTGCTCGTCCGAGTCGAAGGAGAAAAAGCAAAAAGGATGGAAACACCAGAAAACACACAGCATTGCACCCAGCACTGTATGTCTGAATAACACCGCCCAAACTCTTCTATTTCTCAGTCATTTCTCTCCCTCCATTCACAATTTCCCACATTCTATGTTCAAGCCCAACGTTAATGTCATTTAAACACCACCTTTTTTACTTGTTTCCTCTCCTGCAGGTTTCTGATTTCCCCTACTGGTTAAGCTCTCCAAAAAGCTGCCCTACCTCCACCATGAGAATAAAACACCCCCCTGGCAGCAGATAGCTTTATTCTGTTGATCACAAGGCTGCCAGCCCCGTTTGTGACTGGACGTGAGATCTCCAAATCTGGATTTATGCGTGGCAGCAGAACGGCGGGTCAATGAGATTACAAGGATGTTCATCAGAGAGCTGGGAGGCAGTTGGAGCTGCATGGTTCTGTGGTGATTGGGAGTTCAGTATGACACAACCAGCATTAATGAAACCCTGGTGGTCCCCGAGAACATTATTCATTATTACAGCCCTCACCAACACCCCTTCAACCAAAAGGGGGGGGGGGGTTGCAGCTTCACCCTCCCCCCCTCCCTATTCAGATGAAGCCATCTGGGAGATAGCACTGCTGATAATGGACTGAGTTAACAATAGGAGCACTTTATCATATTTTTCATTCAGAGGGTGGTGATGCACTGGAACAGGTTGCCCAAGGAGGTTGTGGATGCCCCATCCCTGCAGGCATTCAAGGCCAGGCTGGATGTGGCTCTGGGCAGCCTGGGCTGCTGGTTGGTGACCCTGCACACAGCAGGGGAGTTGAAATGAGATGATCATTGTGGTCCTTTTCAACCCAGGCCATTCTATGATTCTAGGATATGCTACACACAATGAAAATGGGGCTCCTGGACAAAGCCTCACCCCACACACCTCCAGCACAGGGCTCAGTGAGCCCAGCCAGGCTGAGCAAACTGCAAGCTGAGCCACAGCAAACTCTAAGGTAGTTTGGTTAGGTTACGGTTAGACTTGATGATCTTTAAGGTCTTTTCCAACCTGAGCTATTCTATGATTCTAAACCCCACGTCATCCTCTTCCCTCTTTCAGGGACTTCATTTTCCATCCGTGCCCCTTTTCTTCATTATCATCACCTAGAGATTTTAACTCAAGACCACAGGATGCAACCATGCTGGTGAGGAAGACTCCAAACCTCACAGCCGCGTGGGCTTCATCTGAATAAACCAGATTCTCACCTCATACCGTGCAAGCAGAGGCTCCCCTGGCCCAGCTATAGGGCTGTGATGCTTCACCCCAGCACACCCTGTACCACTGCAGAGCACGTGGAGGGCAATGCTTCGGGGTTGGACCGGCTGCAGCATTTATATAAATAAAAGCAGCAGCAGCAAAGCGCCGCCAGCGCCGCTCTGATTACAGAGCCATTCATTTTCTGGTCGTTAATAATTTGTGCAATAAAAGATTGCGTGCCTTTCTGAGTTAGTAGGAGTTATTGGCACAAATTTCCCTCCGCGCTGGTGTGAGTCTGTGCTTGGAACATAAATTATGAGTTTCTTATCACACTCCTCCTCATTTTTCATGCTGCCATGGTTGGATCGCCAGCGGCCCCTCTGTCTCAGTCTTATTTTATGCAGCAAGAGAAGGCAGAGAGGATGGTTATTCCATTTTTAATTACACAAACCCCTTCTGCACTGCCTCCCTCCTCAGCCCCCTCCCCAGCTGCATAACGAGGGTGCCCACAGCTGCAGGTGCTCCTTGCTCAGGTGATGCTTCACCCACATTTTCCAACTATTTCCAGGTCAGGGGATGGAAATGCACGAAGCACTGAGACTCATTTAAAAGCTATGGAAACATCCTTCTCGTTTCTCTGATACTGAAACGCTCGTTAGTGACGCTAATTGTTTTGTTAAACATGGCAGCTCACACATAAACCACACCAACATCCCTGGACCTTTCCAGATGTCAGCCTGATGGCTTTGTGCATTCGGAGCATCTCTTTCGGCGGTGTCCCCGGAACGTTTGCACCAACATCTGCTCAACTTCCAAAGAAGTGCTGACAGCCTCAGACGACAGAACATGTCTGGCATCTCCAGCCGTGCTTGCCAAGGGCTGTGCAAACCCCACGCTCCCGCAGATAAGTGCACTCATAAAATCACAGAGTCATTAAGGTTGGAAAAGACCGGCAAGATCACCCAGTCACACCACTGACTCACCCCCACCGTGCCCACTGATCACATCCCATGCCACAGATACCCACATCTGCGTCCCTCAACATGCAGCTCTGGATGCTCAGCCACTAATACAGAATCACAGAATCGTTAAGGTTGGAAAAACCCACTAAGACCACCTGGTCCAACCACCCACCCATCCCCCCCGTGCCAGTCAGGAGCTGCAGCACGAGCTCTGCCTTCTCTTTGCTGCGCTCATTGATGGAGAGTGCTTTTCTCTGCAGCACTTCTGCACCCACACTGCCTAACCTCCATCCTTCCCCCTCCCCTGATTGCAGCCTCTGCCTCCCTGGCTCCACACTGGGAATACCATCCCATGGTGGGCAGCAGGAGGACTGTGCATGCTGGAGTTGTCTGTGAGAAGGCCAACAAGCACTTGGGGAGCTGCAGGATGGGGTCACAGTGAGCGCTATTCAGCCTCACTGAGTGTTTTCTCCTGCTAAGTGCAAGTGGCCCTACGGAGGCCCTATGGTGCCCATCAATAACGGAGTGATGTGACACACTTAGGGCACCTCTGTGTACATATATATGCTTTAAGGAAGGCGTGCTGCCCCACTGCAAGAGGATTTATATCGGGGGCCTTGGGCAGGCGTAGCACACGCATAAGAGCGCAGTGTCACTTGGAGAGTGATCCATGGCCCAGTGCTTGGCACGTCTCTGGTGATTATACCACACTGGTGAGCCACTGATCATCTCCAAGTGATGCTTATGTCTGCAGGGTAACATCCAACACGTCCACCAGCCAGGCTCCAGATGCCCGCCCTGAATTCCCTTCCTCCCCAGCACAGCTAGCTGCTGCTGGCCACCAGCACTGCCAGCCCCAGCTGCCATGAGCACATATAAAACTAACAGAAATAGAACGCAGTTGCGTGCTTTCTCACCTCTCACATCATTATTCCAAGTTGGGAATACCGGCATCACAGAACAAAGGTTCCAAGTTCCCAGCTGCAGCCTGCGACCTCTGGCACAAAATGGCACTAACAGACACCGAAGATGACCTTTCCATTAGCAGAAGCAATCATTCTGCATCGTGTGCCCTCTGGCTACGAGGCACAACTCCTGGGCTCTGCCCATATTCTCTCAGATTCCCATTCTGTTTGCCAGCATCACTCTGATTTTTTTTTTTCTGTTCCCACCTTGGATTCTTTGGGTTTAAAGCCGTGGACCAAACTGAGAATCCAGGCTGCAAACCACCCCCTAAGTCCCCAGAAAGGGAGATCCTCATCACCTTGTTCCCAAGAGGGCAGCTCTTCAACCATCAAGCCATTCAGGTTGGAAAAACCCACTAAGATCACCGAAGCTGTGCCCACTAAACCACGTCGAAATGATGCCTTTCCCCACATCCCTTTCTCTTTTCCCTGCAGCCAGAGTGCCACTGCTTTATTTCACTGCTGGGAGCCAGGGAATCACATCACTGCACAGCAGCAATGCCACACCACCAATGCCACACCACCATGGCTCACAGCAGCACCCCCAAATACCAAGAACTGGGCAAAACCAACCTGCTGTTCCCATATTCCTGAACGTATCGATACTTTAGTTGAATCTCCACATCAATTTCCTGCACGAGCAGAGCTATCCCTTGTTTTTCCTTCGAGCCCAGTGGATATTTGCTGCCTTACGATTCTGTGCACAAAGATTCTGAGATAGCAACTTATTACGTTCTGCTCAGCTGTGGAAAAACTGAGGCACAGAGCGTTTGGCACTGCAGAGCCAAGAAGAGCAGACAGCTCTGCTTCCTTACACAGCAGCCAGACGGCTCTAAAAGGGATGGTGCACAGTGCCTGTAAGCACAGCATAATTAATCTTCTTCCTTACACATACTACTATGAAATCGGAGTGGTTTTTTGGAAGTGTTTTTCCCATCTCTCCCCACCCCTCCCAATTTGAGCTTTTCGCCTATCTCCCGAAAAATCTGCCCTTGTGCACGCACGAGCTGCGCTGCACTTAATGAGGCACTTCAGGTTCAATGAGGTCCTTCATCTTTTCAGCTCCAGCTCTGTGCTTCTCCCTTCCAGGCATCTCAGCTGGCTCCTGCACATCCCTGCCGTGGTCCCCCATCTCCCGGGGGCTGCAGCTCAGCGCTGCCCCCCGCCCTGCCCGAGGCGATGGCAGTGGGGTGAGGACCCCCGGGTGCTGTTCTTGGATCTGTCACTCATTTGCTGTGACCCTGACAGCGAGGCAGGAAGGAGCAATTCTCAGACGTGGGCACCTCACACAATGGTATGCGCCGGGGATGATAAGCATCCATAGTTCTTATTAAAAAAGAGCAATAATTATGAGTGCATCCCAAGCCTCGTACTTCTCTCTTCCCTTCCGCTTTCACATCTCATTAATCCCAATCCCCATCTCCCCCCTTACAGCCTGATGCAAGCTCCATCCATGAGCACAACCTCTGCTCGCCGTGCACTGCTGCCCATGAAACCTTCCCACGTGTGCCCCAGAGCTGAGCAGAGCAGCACAGCACCCAACCACCTCCTGCAAACCCTTCACCAAGCAGAACCCGTTCCCATTTTCCTCCTTGGGATCCACTTGGCACTGTAACACTCTCAGTGCTGTGGCCAGCAAGGGTAACAAATGCATTATGTCTGTGCTGCTACACGCAGATATGGGAACGCTGAGTTTTTGGCCAACAGGTCCAGAGAGGATAAAAACAAAATCACCCTACAGGTCCTTCCCGGAGCCCTCAGCCCCTAATAAAAGGCTT